CTATTGAATGATTTTCAACCAACACCATCTTAAAATGACATTTAGAAAACGGCTAAAATACTAGATTAGCTTATAAAGTGACACACATTTTTTAATAAAGCATAAAAATTGACTATGGTGACAACAATGCCTAAAAGTTGACGCACTTAATTAATAAGGCTCACTCCAGTAGCCGGAATTTTGATTCAAGTAACAAATTTAAGGATTTTTGCATTTATACCCCTCAAATCTTACACACTTACATACTTGCCCTCCAAATTATGCAAAAAAAAAAACATCCCTCCCTCTCCCCTCACTCATATTACCTACCTTTTCAACCTCTCTATTCTTACTCCCCTAACTTTCCTCCTCTCTTCTCTTAACTTTCCTCCTCTCTTCTCTGTCCCTCCTCCGCTTTTGGTTAAGGTTTAAGGGGAAAGAGGAGAGAGAGGAAGGTGGAGGAGGAGAGAGATTGAGAAGTAGGGTAAGGTTAGAGAAGGAAGCAGAGGAGGCGAGGATGAGGATCTTGGGGAGGAGGAAAGGGGAGGGGAGGTGGGAGAGGGGAGGAAATGAGGAAAGAGATGATGGGGTGAGAGAGAGAGAGAGTTGAGCTTTTTGCAAATATTCGAATTTTGAAGGGCAAATGTAAGTGTTGGAGATTTGAACGATATATATGCAGAAACCCTTCATATTCCCGCTGAAAGCAAAACTCAAGTCACCAAAGTATATCTTATTAGTTAAGCGTGTCAATTTTTAGAACGTGTGTTAGTTTTTATGTCTTATTGAAAAATAGGTGTCACTTTATAGGCTAATCTAGTATTTTAGCCTTTAGAAACTGACTATGAGCATAAATGTAGATCCACCTACTTGTCAATTGTATATTTACTAAGCTTTTTATGGCTCATCGCAAGAACTTGGTACTCATAATGATAATGTTTTTAGGTTGACAAATTCTTGACCATCAAGTTAACACTTACAGGAAGCTTCTAAATCTTGAGCCATATTCTTATTAGGTGCTTTAAGGAAGAGGGTTGCATCAGCGTAAAGCTTAGTCAA